GCAGCCCTGCCGAGAAGGACTTGGGGGTACTCGTGGATGAAAAGCTGGACATGAGCCGGAAATGTGCACTCGCAGCCCAGAATGCCAACTGTGTCCTGGGCTACATCCAAAGCAGCGTGGCCAGCAGGTTGAAGAATGGGATTCTGCCCCTCTACTCTGGTCTGGTGAGACCCCAGCTGGAGTCCTGCGTCCAGCTCTGGAGCCGTCAGCACAGGAAAGACATGGACCTGTTGGAGCAGGTCCAGAGGAGGCCACAAAAATGCTCAGAGGGATGGAACACCTCTCCTATGAGGACAGGCTGAGAGAGTTGGGGTTGTTCAGTATGGAGAAGAGAAGGCTCCAGGGACACCTTATTGCAGCCCTTCAGTACTATAAGGGAGCTTGTAAGAAAGATGGGGACAAACTTTTTAGCAGGGCCTGTAGTGATAGGACAAAGCGTAATGGTTTTAAACTAAAACTGTGTAGATCAAGCCTAGATATGAGGAAAACATTTTTGACAATGAGGGTGATGAAACCCTGGCCCAGGTTGCCCAGAGAAGTGGGACATGCCCCATCCCTGGAAACATTCCAGGTCAGGTCGGATGGGGCTCTGAGCAACCTGATCTAGTTGAAGATGTCCCTGCTCACTGCAGGGGGGGCAGACCAGATGGCCTTTAAAGGTCCCTTCCAACCCAAACTGTTCTATGATTCTATTCTACGATTCCCATTTCTTGGACAAAGCCATGGGAACTGGCTTCTTACCCTTTTGGGCCCTGCAGCTGCTGGGAAGTACAGCTGAAGATGACTGCTGCAGTTGCCTGTGCTGTAATGAATTACTCACTGCTTGAGCTGTAATTGAGTAGCTACACCCACCTCTCTGCAACCCCTAAAGCTCCACCACATATCTTCTCCTGCAGTCCCAGCACCGGCCATGTTATTTCATGGACAAAGGCTTGCTCCCACTAAGCAGAGGCTGCCTTGTTAGCGGAGAGGTGCTAAACTCCCCTCCCACCCAGGGGCCTCCACTGAATGGATGTTACACCCCCGCTGTACTGCTGTTCCAAATCCTACGTACGCCTACTCAAAGGGAAAATAATTATCTTGGGTGCAAATCACTGTCTTAGCTGAGTTGCAGTGGTGGAACCTAGACCAGGATGTGGATGCACACCCCACAACACACCGAGGTGTTCAGTGGAGCTGATTTTAGAGCCAAGACATGAAAGATAGCAGAGTGTTGTTATGTGTAACAGAAATATTCTCTTTACCCTTCAAGCGCACAAGATTGTGCTAGGACAGCAACGCACCACTTCTGATCACCTACAGATAATGAGACTCCGCGGATGGATCGTTTTCCTATGTGCCTCCCGTTTGAAGCATGTGAAGCAGATGGGGAGAAGTGCCAGCTACTTTTGCAGTCCCTGATGTCCCCTTTATTAGAAGTGCAAATAGTCACTGGAGATTTACTGGTCAGGTTAGACTTGAGGAATTTATAGTACCTGATTTGCATGGCTGGCAAACAGGTTTTGGAAAAATTTAAATTCATTTGAGGAAAATGCTGCAAAACCAGCCCCTAGATGTAGTTATAAAAGACTCCACATAATGGCAGTTCTCATTTAGAAGAAATATATCCTGAATTATTGAAGCACATGTAAATATGCAGGCGTAATGGCAAGTTAAAGAGGCAGATGACTTGCACAGGAGGGGCCTGGGTTACAATTTGAATTTGATTAAATTTTACCACTCTGATGGTGCACGTGGGGCCACCTCGCCCCATACAGAAACACTTTGTTGGCGGCAGATGGAGCTGGTTGGAAAGATTGGCTCCTGCCCTCGATGACTGTGTGCTGCTGTCTAAATGTGTTTCCTGTGGACCGGTGCTGCTCTGTGGCTTTGTGCAGGTTCACAGAGATTCGTGCCTGGAGAAGGGACTTTGTCATGGCTGGTTCTGACTGCAGTGGGACTCGCTGAGTGGGACACCATGGCAAGTCCAGGAGCCAGAATGGAGATACGCGTCTCAGCCTTGCCGTGGGCTGCATCCTGTCCAGATTTACAGCAGACAATTAATGTGGAATGCAAAACCCAGAGAAGCGGAGTGAACTGCTGCCCCTTGCCAGACTGCACCAGGGACCAAGGCTGGCTGAGTTATAGCCATTGCATCTACTACTCTGCTACTCTGCAGCCAGAGCTGGGGCCACATGTGGGCAAGTTACTCACTGCCCATGTAGGTCTGTGGTCAGCATTACTCAGGGAGGTTGCCTCTGTCAGCAAAACCTTTTGAGTAGCTTGTAAATATAATGGGATAATTTAAAGTAATGAAGAAAAAAGATGCCCAAACAAATTCTCTGGAGCCTGAGAAAAAGACAGTCCTTGTGATTTTTATTTTTAGCAGAAACCTTAATCTAAAAACTGAAGGTTGGGGGTTTGATATGTTACTTGGGAGTGACACCTGCAAACAACTATTTTCCCAGACTGTACCAAACCAAGACTTTTGCACCGGACACCCATACTGACACTGGATCATGTGTACCCTAGACCTGAATTCTGTGTTGATTCCTATTTGGCACATCTTGAGGACTTTAACTTTTCCTTTGCAGAATTAAACTCATCTTCTCTTTACGGGTAGTGTGGGTGGTCTCAGAATAAAATTTCAGAGGCAACAGAAACCAGAAATAGAAGAAACTCTTAATTTTTTAAATCATCACTCAGGGAACTACCCAAATGAGGTCATATTGCAGCTTTTTCTTTCGAAGTGACACTTCATTTCCGTTCTTTACCCTCTCTCCTAATGCCGTTTGTTTACAGAAACACATTATCTGCAAGGAGAAAGACTGGATTTACTAGGAAGAAATGATAAGTATGTGTCTCTGATCAACCACAGCATCCCTCAGCTATGTCAGTTCACTGTGTGCATTGATCTAAACCGGACAGCCAATGTCAGCTCCTGGGCAGCATTTTCCTATGACACTAACACCACCTCCACTGACATAAACGACATAGAGCTTGGACTCTCTGGAGAAAACAAGCGGTTGAGACTGTATCTTTTTGGCACCAGACGAGACATTGAGATTGATCTGACCCTTTTTGTGTGGTACAGCATCTGCTGCTTGTGGGACACCAGGAAACAACTGCTGGAGGTCTATTGCAATGGTAATCTCGTGCATACCGAAACCATTGGCAGCGCTGAGTGCCTGAAACCCAACGGTAGCCTGGTGCTAGGTCATCTGCACAAAAGAAAGGATGGCTTTATTGTGAGGTTAAGCAACAGCTTCATCGGCAGCTTGTACTACTTCCAAATGTGGGACCGTGCGATGGGTTGGGAAGAGCTGCCGGACTGCGCCATGGGCAACACTGTCAGCTGGAAGGAAGAATACTGGAACTTCAGCAGCACCCTCCCCGTTGCAGACCGTCACCTGCGCTGTGGTGAGTCTCTGCAATATTTTCTCTTCTTGGGGCTTGTGCATTGCTGGGGACGACACACAGAGAGTGAGGAACCCCCCACAGCTCAGGACAACAACAGGGATTGTCTAATAGCCTCCCAGTCACTGCTGCTGCGATTGAGACCAGGAGAGCGCAGGGCTGTAGCCGTGCGTGTGACATTGCCGACTCACTCCACACAGGCTCTTCTTGAAGCAGATGCAGAGGCTGTGGATGAGGGAAAGCTGGCAGGGGCAGGCTCTGCCACCAAAATTCCCTGGAGGCTGCTGGCAGGTGGCAACTTTTAGATGAACCTTCTAGTGGTTCGTCCTTCTGCTGGGGCACCAACCTGCTACTCAGCTGGCCTGGCACTGAGCGAGGTAGGTTGGACACAGAAATTTTTTTCCAATACGTTTAACAATATTTAACTAGAGCCATTAGTTAGATGATAGCAATCGCTTTTCTGCAAAAAGTCTTTGTTGTGTGCCCTAGATGGATATTGCTTCATTGAAAAGCACTCTTTAGCAGTGTTTTGTGTTATCATTCGATCCTGATATCTGTAGGTACTACACGGTATTTAAACTACACAGTATTAAAACAGAGGACTGAGATTGACTAATTGACTAATTTACATAAAGCTAATAACATGCCATGATATTTAGGTGCTCCACAGTAACAGTGAATGCATCTTTACTAATCCTCTGTAAGCTGATGGCTTCACGAGGAAAGCAGAAGCACAGTCAAAAGTAATTGGTCATTTTTGGTGTCCAGTTTGAGAACCCAATGAGCATCCCATCAGACAGCACGTCTCCATCGAGTGCAGCACCTACTGGCTTCACCACGCTTCCCACTGCACTTTCCCATCTCCTGCTCCAGGTTGCATCAAACCGGGGCCCGAGGCAATGAGAAGAGCCTCAGGAAATCACTGACTGCTGCTGAAACCTGTGCTCAGAGGGATTCCCCCCCCCCCTTGCACACCCGCTCGTTCTGCACCCAAGGACGCAGGCACTAATAACAATGGCTGTAAATTACAACCTTCCCACCCGTCTCTTGGCTCCCGGCCCCGTTGCCTTCACCCAGGCAGTCAGCCCTCTTTCTGCATTGCCTGTTGCTAGAGCTATTCCTCCACTCATGCCCCTGACTGGGGGGAGGGACATGAGCTGATGAGGATGGAGGAGGAAGGCTCAGTTTCCCTTTTCCAATTAACACCTTTGCCCTTAGGCCCATTCACTCTGTGGGAAAGGTGTGTGCTTGGCTTGGCAAGGAGTTGTGAGCAGCTTAGTCATGTTTGCTGATGAAAAGTTTAGCACCTAAAATCAAAGCCGCTGCTCGATGTTCCTGGACTTTGATTTTTCAAAAACAATAACCTGGATGAATTTGAGCAGCTTTTTGGTGAGACAAAGCACATTAGAGAGAGACTTTCAATGGTCAAGGAATTTTTTCTCTCTAAAGCAATCCCCAAGAACCAGGTGATTTCCTCTAGTTAGGATTCTCCAGTGCAGCCTGAATTGGACATTCAGCCAGGAAAATGTTGGCCCAAAATATTCAAAGCAAGGAGAAACAGCAGCGTGTCTCACAAGTGATGAACTACACCAACAGGCACCGAGACCGCTTTTGCCTACGGTTCCATGAATCGCTGGATCCACATTGTGTTCCAGACTGGGAGAAGTGTTACTGGAGCCTGACTTTTTCCCAAGAGCAATAACTAAAATGACTGTTCTGAAGTCCTAGTTACAGAGATGTTCAAAAAATTTAATCATGTTTGAGAATCTGTCATGTGTCAGATCTTGGCAAGACCTTTGCTTCCACTATAAATCTACTTCTTACTTTAATTAACTGAAATTCATGAGCTAGCTATTGCACAGAGACATACTGACGATACACTAGATACGGATAACTGTGTGGTATAAATATATACGGAGATTTATGTTCTTTTTGTCAGATAGGGGAAGCTGCACTTGGCTGTAGTTTGTATGGATTGTCCATATGGGGTCATACATATTAAGTCCACATGAGAACATCTAGAGCATGTGTATAACAAACAGTTGTGCCAAAGTGTTGCTGTGGAACGAAATGTCATGGGGAAGCGCCATTTCAATGCTGATGTCATGACTCAAATTGTTAATTCTGCCCTAAAACAATGACTAGCTGCAAGGTTTGTTTCTCTTGTTTATGTATGTTTATAGACCTATGCATTGCTTCAGTTTGTAGGGTTTGGTTCACCTTGACAGTAGATAGTTTATACAGTTGTGCTGGGAAGTTGGGTAACCTGCTTTGTTTTGGAAATCCTACATTAATTTTGGAAAGCCAGGGATCATTCAGGCAAAGCGAGTGAAACTTCTCATACGACTGTAGCAGGAAGCAGTGTTAAGAAGGTGTGTTGACTTTTTATGAGTGATATAATTATCATAGCAATTGCACTGGC